TAGTATCTGCATGTTTCATTGCAGTTGTTAAAGCAATATCTGTTCTTGCATCTGCGGCTCCTGGATTTTGGTTTCCAACTTCACCTGCAAAGTCTTTGACAGATATTTGGTGTATAGGGAACATAAGTGGAACTGCAATATATTTGGCAGCTAAAGCATTTGAAATATCTGGGTCCAACATATAAACGGCAAGTCTGCTTTCTATTCTCTTGCATTCAAATTTTTCGCATGTGAACTTAACTGGGTCCCAAGCAGTATTGTTGTCTGCTGTTCCTGAGAAGTAGTAGTTTACTTCAGTGTTGAGGTTTGAGAAACCAAAGTCTAAGTCAACTTTCTCTTTGCACCATTTTCCAAATGGTATGCTGGCAGCTCCACCAGCTGTATCTGTAATAGTGAATGGGTCTTGTGTTGGTGCAATGACTAAGTTATTTTTGCTTGGAGTAAGTTCGATAGAAATTTTTCCTGCCCAGTTTGGCAAGTATCTTAAAAACCTGAAGATGAGGAAAGATGACAAAGGAACTCTAAGTTTCAGTTTTACTTTGGTTACTGCTGCTGCAGTTTGTCCAGAAAGGTTAACATAAACTCCTGGAACGTTAGGGTCAAGTCTTCTTATTTTCTCAATAGTTGCATACTGGTCTGTTTGTTCTCTAGCTTGTGGTTGTACTGAGTTTCTCAAAGCGAACCATTCATAGTTTGCCCATGTTACTGTTTGAACTAAGTCAGAGTTAGAATATATCTTATATCCCATGAAAACTTCTGGAGCATATTGGTATCCGACATAGAAAATTCCATTGCAGCCTTTCTTGTCAGACAACTTGGCAGAAGGTTTTATTTCAATGTCTTGTTCCACGTATAAGAATGAGTTGTCAATAGAAATAATATGAAACCTGTCGCAAGCAATATCTACTGTTGTTGAAGAACCTTCTCCAAACTCACCTACGTTTCCATAAGAAACAGCAGTTGTATATTCGTAAGTTCCAGGAACTATTTCTGACCTTCTAATGGCATTGTCGCATTCGTTATACCATTCGGAAACATTTCCGTTCATGGCATCCAAAACTGTTGGCGTTATATTCTGAGCGGCGTACATTTCATATGGGTAAAAATATAGAATAGTTGAATTTATGTGTCATAATAGAACCCACTCGGACCAAGCTTTACTTTCTTCCTGACTGAGTTTTTAACTGAATCTTTAACTCTTCTTTTTCCTTCATTGCCACTACTTTCACTAGATGAAGTTACTTCTTCACTACTTTCACTTTGTTCTACTCTTCTCTTCTTCTTTGGTGTCGCTTTTGGTAACTTGCCCTCTGCTTCAAGTTGTTGCATCTTTGCCTCATGTTCACCTAGTATGTTGTAAATTTCCCATGTCCTTTTTGCCTTTGGGCTCTGGTCGCCCATCTCAGGTAACCTATATCCTAGAAAGATTTTGTCATAGTTTGTATTTGAGTCTTCGCATATTGTTTGCATGACTCTTTCCTGAGTTTCCGGTTCAAGCTCTTCAAATATAGCATGTCCATATGGAATAAGCTCGTTTCCAAATATATGTTTTTGTAGCCATTCTGGTTTTGTTTCCATGTAACCAATAATATCTTTTGTGAATGGGAAAGCTTTTACCCAATGTTTCAGGCTTGCGTCATTTATTTCTGTAGTTGGTTTTATTTTGTCATGGAACATGTTTTTCAATACTAACATTTCATTTGGTACTGTCCATTTGAGTTTTCTTAAATATTCATCCCTTCTCATTTCATTGTCTGCAAAGTAAGTTTTTATGACATTTTGCAAACTTTCATTTGCAAGGTCATGTACAATAGGTTCTCTTCCTTCTCTCTCCCTAACTTTCTTTCTAAACTCTTCACCAAATATACCATCTCTATGGTTCTGTGTAGTTCTTTGAGATAAATGTTCTAGAACGTCAGGTGTTATATTTCCTTCAGCCATGTTCATTTCATACTGGTCCAAAATATCTGCATCTTTCATATCTTTCAATGGCATTAAAGCCGCGCTGAAAATACCAGCTATATCCGGTTCACCATTCACTTCCATTGCGTCTACAACTTCTTGGAATTGTGGTTGTAAGTTTATGAACCACCTATCCGGATTAGCTTTATGACCCCATCTCATTGTAGTTCCATAGTCTGCAGAAACAAAAGTAGGTTTGTTTCCATATTGGTTAGGTTCTGAATGAACTTTAAACAATGTTTCATTTCTATATGTTTTGTTGAAATTTAACCTTTTATTTTCACCGAGTTCAGCCAAAGATTGAACGTTATATGGTCGTAAGTAAAACGGATTATTGTATTTGCGTACATTTTCTTTCAGTACTTCCATTCTATGCTGAATATTTTCATCTGATGTTGGAGTCTTTTGTATGTCGGCGAACATTTTTCGATATTCTTCTACTATGTCAGCCGAATTTTTCTTAGACTCTTGGAAAGATTCCATATTCTCCGCATACACTTGTTGAGGGTCAAGATTTTTCGGCTGTTCCAAATCTTCATCTAGTTCTGTGAAGTTAGTTTCCAAAGGAGGGACTTGTTCGTTTCCTTCAGGCTCTTCTAGCTGTTGTTGCTGAACTATTTCTTCCATGTCTGGTTGTATCTGAACTTCTTCCTGTGGAGTTTCTTGTACCTCATCGGGTGGCATTTCATATATTCTGAGACCGTTTTTAACAAGTTCCCTATCTAAGTCATCCGGACTCATAAACCTTTCTTCTTTCGTTCCGTCTCTATTTTTTACGCGTTTCATGAAGAGAGTTGAATTATCATTTAGCTCTGACATCAAATATCTCGGAGTAAATTCATCCATGTCATTTGGATGATATGCTATTAAATCATATCCCTTAGCGAGCTTGTATTTTCCAGGTTTGAGATTATATCCCATTTGGTGCTGAACCATAAAGCTAAATAGGTTCGGGTCAGTATTTCCTTCCTTGAACTTTCTAATAGCTTCTTTATATCTGTCACTAAAGTCAAGAGTATCTGGGTAACCATAATCTTCCTTAAGCATTTTTAAGAATTCTTGGTTTCCTTTTTCTCTACTTCTTTTGTGTCTTTGCTCTGTTTGTGGTTGCTGTGCAGGATTTTGAACTGTTGGTTGCTGTGCAGGGTTTTGCTCTGTTTGTGGTTGTTGTGCTGGATTTTGAACTGTTGGTTGCTGTGCAGGGTTTTGCTCTGTTTGTGGTTGTTGTGCTGGATTTTGAACTGTTGGTTTTGGTTGTTGTTGTTGTGCTGGATTTTGAACTGTTGGTTGTTGTGTTGGTTTTGGTGCATGCCTGTGTCTGTGTCCATGTGACGATGTAAATGTTTTAGGTAGTCCTGGTGCAGGTGCTTCTCTTGGAGGGTTTGGTGGTATATAAGTTCCACCAGCTGGCACATATGTTCCATCTGCAGCATAATGTCCTACCTGACTTTTCGTTCTTAAGAAAGCATTTACTAGGTCTGTTTTGGTCTGTTGTAACTCTTTTTCTTGACTTTCCACAACAGTTGCTCTAACGGCGTCATAGGCACTTTGAACTGCCTGTCTCGTTGCTGCATCTGTTATTTTCGTCATATTTTGTGCTACTTCTCTTAACTCTTTGTCGAAACCTTCAGACTTCAGTTTCTTTCCAGATGAGAAGTCGTTCACTAGTTTCACCTTACTATGAAGAGCTTCGAAGGCATTCTTAAAGTCAGCATTCATTAAAGCTTCATTTGAACTGTCTTCATCCGCTTGTATTTTTGTCCTTATTGACCCTAGAAGTTGGGCTGCTTTAGCGTTGGCTTGGGCATCTAACCAGTCATTATTAGCTTTTATATATTCTGCGCTTTTCATTGACTTTTGCATGGCTGCGTCGTTATTTTTACTTTCTTGTGCTAAGTTTACATACTGTACGGTTTGGTTTTGCAAATGTAAAAGTTTTTCTGCCTTTACATTTGCTTCAACTTCTTTTTTATACTCATCGCTATCCATATATGTCTTCATGGCTTTTTGTTTTATCTCTTCATCTTTCAGTACTTTATATTGAGTAGTATGGTTTTTCAAATTTATAACATCTTGTTCCATTTTTGCTACTTCTGCTGCTTTTTCTGACACTTTTTTTCGCATATTCCTCTGTACTTAGTTCTTTCAGTTGTTCTTCTTTCTTCTTTTTCTCTACGTTTAACTCATTGAGTTTCTTTGTTTGTCTGTCATATTCTAGTTTCTTTTCGTTTTCACTTATTTGTTTCTGTATGTCTATGTTTGACTTTTTGACATCTGTTATTTGATTTTTGAGTGAACTCAAATTCATTTGACTTTGAGGGTTATAAGCTGTTCCGTCTGCAGCTCCACCATAGCCTGCCATTTTCGCTAAAAGTGCCGCTCTTAAACCTCCACTCTGTGCACCAATAACTCGGTTTAAAAGCATAGGGTTGCTTGACATTTGTTGCAACATAGTGGGGTCATTCATCATGTGTTGTTGCAACTGTTGTTGTGGTGTCAGTTTTACTATTGGATGTTTCAATGCTCCCTTCCTCTTACGTATATTCTTACGTAGCTTACGTGGCATTTTAAGTGAAGTTAAAAAGCGGTTTTTGACAGATGTTTATATGACACTTTTTGTTCAGCACAAAAAACTACTCGGTCAAAGTGTTGTCAGTTTTGTAAAATAACCGTCCTATCTCATTCTATAAGGGAGAAAAGGCTTCTCAAAGTATACTTCCTTGGAACGCCTGTAACTTTTCCTGTAGCGACGATAGACCCTTACTTGTCCGGACAAAGTTATACTATTTTGAGTGCTCTACAAAAAAGTCAACGGCGACGACTCTCAAAAACCGTTGTGCAAAAAGTTTTACCGTTGGACAAAAAAGTATATATAGAAAACAAAAAACGTTTATATTTCATTCAATATTTGAGATAAACCGTTTTTCCAACGGTAACTATTAAATAAAATAAAAAATAGAGGGGGTCTCCGTTGACGAAAACGGTTTATCTCAAACTTTTCTATGAGTGGTCCGAAAAAAACAGTTCATTTTTATCTAATGGAAGCCAACGCTGTTAACCACAATTCAAACATTAACAATTCTCAACCGCTAACCAAAGCCAAAGCCCCACAACCTCCAAGAACTGGCACAGCGGTTAGAATAACCACCAAAAAGTCTAACAGCGAATTAAGAGAAATTCTTCAACAAATTTGCTCTAAATATCTCAAAGACGCCGAAGAAAACACACAACCAGACGCTACATACAATACTCAGTTCTGTGAAGTTCTGAACAAAGCAATTACTAGTTCAATTGAACTTACTAAGACAATTCCAAGTCCAATTGAGCTTAGCGATGTCTTAGTTCAGTATTATCATAAGACGAAATGGTGGAAGTGAACTCAAAATAAGAGTAATTAGGTTATTTTGCCGACCAAATATATTTACAAGGCAAAATATCATATTACATGTCAACCTATTATCAGTATGTTTTGATAAAAAAATTTTATCAAATATCATATTAAAATTAACATCTATATCTATATCAATATCTACACTATAAATTTTTTTATTCAATATCATAGATTTCAAAAATTTATTTCAATTTTAAATTAATTTATGGTTTTCATCAAAATTGTTTTTTATTAAAAAGCATGTTTCACAATTTTTACGGTTTCTTTCAAAAGTTATAAAATTTCAGATGAGTCGAAAGATATACATCTAATTGATATAAATTGGATTCAATCTGCAATTGAACAAATTAATCAAGGTCAAAAACTCAAAACAATACTTAGCAATTTCCAACTCACTGATGGACGCATTATACCATCAATATCTAAAAAAACATTCCACTTAGCAATTAAATCAAATGGAATTCCTGATACAAAATTTAAACCAGGGCGTAAACCAATCGAACCACCTGAGGAATTATTAGATACAGTAAATAAATTACATCAAAAAGTTAAAAAAATCGGAATATCAAGAGCATACGGAAGAATTATTACCGATAAGGATATGTTAATTCAAAGGGAAACCGAAAATGCTAATCATGATTTAGATGATTTACCAATTTCACAATTAAATACAAATCCAATAGGTTTTTCAAATTCTTCAGAATATCTTTCTGAGTATACAAATTCTGATTCTGATTCATCAGCAGAAAAACTTTTTTCTTCCAATTCTTCCGAAGAAGATCCACAAATTGAGTCGGAATTATCTGAAGATCCATATATCGTTCATACAGAAACTACTCAAAATTTGGAAAAATCAACGATTATTTTAACAAAAAATTATTGGAAACAAACTTTTCAGAAAGAACTGTAAAGAAGTGTTTCAAAATTCTGAATATCGTTCAACCTGCCAAAAATTCAGTACCAAAAGGAAAAACAAAATACGAAGCAGTATATATAAACTTAATATGGCATGTCGATATTCATTTTTTTAAACATCGTCAGGGTGAATATCTTTATGCGGTTATTGACGATAAATCCCGAAAAATTTTAGCATGGGCTCACTTGGAAACAAAAGAAGCTGCGCAAACAAGTAGAGTAATTGACCAATGTTTCCAAAAATATGGGAAGCCCTTTGCTATATGGAGTGATAACGGAACAGAAAATTTTGGGGTTTTTCGAAATTTATTACAAAATGCGAACGTTCAAAGTATTACAATTCTCCCACATTGCCCATATATGAATGGGAAAATTGAAAGGTTTTGGCAAAATGTGGAAATTGAAGACGCCACATGGAATGATATACAAAGTCTTATAGAAAATTACAATTCAAACCCACACACAAGTTTACCAAAAAACCCGACATTACATACATGGTACACACCTAACAAATTTTACGAAATTTCAGAAAAATATGATTCAAGTAAATTACCGCTTTGGATTGTAGATGGAGTTGTTAAAGATCTAAGAGAGTCAATAAGAAATTTCAACGCTTCAAGAAGGAATCAAAAAATTGACGAAGTTCCAGAATTTTATTCAACAATTCTTAATCAATTAAAAAAACTATACCGAAACTTATCTTACCATCCAAATCAAATCACATTACATACGGAATAAACATTTAATCTTTTACCATTAAAATTATATTTATACGTTATTTAATTTTTTTACGTCTAAGTTGAATAGGATAATAGCCGAAGATATAAAGTAACTATAGTTTACAAGCTAAGGAACAAATCAGCATTGAAACTAAAAAATGCTGAAATATTATAATAAATTGAAGAAATACTGTGATAGAATACCTAGTTATACTAGATACTATTATAATATGAATTCATTTGTATTGAATATCGATTAAAATAAGATGGAACGTCAATTTGACAGACTCAAGTTTCGAATTAGAGACCAACTTTCATCAGCATAGTATATGTGCGCAAACTACTGCATAATGGTATGCTTATCTTTTCATTTTAAAAAATAACGTATTTGAATAATTTCGTAAAAAATTAGAATTACTCGATATTAAGCATATTGCTTTTCTATCATATATGCTTATATTCTACAATAGTGTTACCAAACATCGGGCAACATCATACGTATAATACAACTTTTTAATACTTGAACGTCAATTTGACAGACTCAAGTTTCGAATTAGAGACCAACTTTCATCAGCATAGTATATGTGCGCAAACTACTGCATAATGGTATGCTTATCTTTTCATTTAAAAAATAACGTATTTGAATAATTTCGTCAAAAATTAGAATTACTCGATATTAAGCATATTGCTTTTCTATCATATATGCTTATATTCTACAATAGTGTTACCAAACATCGGGCAACATCATACGTATAATACAACTTTTTCGTGCTCCTTTATCGAATTTAAATAGAACTAAGTTTTTATTTTAAATAAAAGAGAAATAATTCTAATTTATAATCTCATTATTAATTTATTCTCATTTTAATATTTCATCGATTTTTTATTATCGATATTCAATACAAATGAATTCATATTATAATAGTATCTAGTATAACTAGGTATTCTATCACAGTATTTCTTCAATTTATTATAATATTTCAGCATTTTTTAGTTTCAATGCTGATTTGTTCCTTAGCTTGTAAACTATAGTTACTTTATATCTTCGGCTATTATCCTATTCAACTTAGACGTAAAAAAATTAAATAACGTATAAATATAATTTTAATGGTAAAAGATTAAATGTTTATTCCGTATGTAATGTGATTTGATTTGGATGGTAAGATAAGTTTCGGTATAGTTTTTGTTAATTGATTAAGAATTGTTGAATAAAATTCTGGAACTTCGTCAATTTCTTTGATTCCCTCTTCCTCGCAATACAACTCCATATCATTAACTTGTATTTAAAGGCTTCCATATACAAAACTATATATAATGTTTGAAAGTTAAATCCAATCTTTTTCTATTTCTAAAAAAATTGAGACCTAAACACGAGATAGCTTTCAGAAAATTTTCAGGGACATTTTTAATCATTTTTTATTTATTGTAATATCTTTGTTATTAAATTTGAATTGTTTAATATTTGAATGTAAAAAATTGAATAGTAATAATTTTAGTTTTAATACATAGCTAATTGCTAAGCAAAATAATTAATTTATTGTAATTTTGACATGTAAACTAAAGGGGAATTTAGCCGGCCAAATATGTGTCACTTTTTAACTTCACCTCACTTCCACCATTTCGTCTTATGACAGTATTTTCCAACATTTACTAAGCTTATAATGTTGAGAACTTTATACCAAGTTCGTCAAAATCTTCCTCGTTACATCCAACGGTCATTCGACAAGAGAATTGCCGAATTCCAAGTCTTTAGTTACGGATATGACAAGATGAATACGTTGACGAGTTCGGAGACAACTGTACAAAATGGTTTGAATGTTATACGACAACACAATTTGAAGTCGACTTTCTCGAATTCAACGCAGCAACCATTCATATCATTGCTCTTTACCTTTCCGAACAACAACAAGACCTCGCAGATGGAGATGTTGTTACTGTCGTCATGAAAACTCCTGAACAATTCGGAAAAAAGAAGTCTCTAATTGCCAAATTCGTTCCAGGACATCAGCTTTTCCAACGCACAGAAGTCTTCTGTATTCCTGGAACTAAGTTCTTTGTCAGGAGCGAACTCAAAGAAAGATATAATGTGTCATTCAATTACACATTATATAATGTTTTCGACCCAGAAGAAGGCTTCTTCCCAGAAGCAATGGAGGAGGAAGAAGAGGAGGAGGAAATACAAGACTCTATCCAAGAAGAGTCCTCCGAATTCACACCAGAAGACTAACAATTTTCCGAATAAAAACTTCATTTATACTAAACATCTTCGGGGCTAGAGAGCGCAACGCGCCTGGAAGCCCCACTCACCTGACCTTAAATGTATCTCACATCAAAATCCATTGACCTAAGGATGTTAAGTTTCTGTTTTTAAAAGTTGATATTTTTTTTTAATTTTAAGAAAATTAATAGCATGTTATTAGACAATAGGAGTGTAATGATATTGACTAAACAGAAATGAGAGAATAGAGATATAATTTTGATAAGCAATATTGCGAACAAATTCTGAAGTAAAATCGCGATCAATAATTGAAAATTACGATCATGTACTGAAAAATGACGATCGAATTGAATGAATAGAATTATATCTAAGAAAAAATAAATTGTATTTAGAAGATGAACAAAGAAAGGTGTATGCTAAAAATCATTTAACAATAAATGGAAATAAAACGAAATTGTTAAAAAAAAAAATGAAAATTGTTAAATAATATATTATTTTTTAGTCATAAGAATAAAAATATAGTAGTTATAAAAGGAATTAGACTTCATATATCAATTCTTTTTCTCTGTAGATGTGGAACGTTTGCTTTTCGATCTCTTTCGATGAACTTGAAAATATAAGTTATTATCGCTGAGAATCCTTTCCGAAATAGGAGCTTTACGTTTAGGAGGATTGTCGGATGAATTTTGTTTTTTATTGTTTGATTTTGTTGTTATGGAAGATTTTTTCTTATTTTTTTCAGAATTTTGCTTGCTATTAACCGAAACTTGTTTTGACGGCCCAACAATAGCATTTGTAGTAGGAAGAATTCCCAATAACGAGCGCATTTTCGATAATTGTTTTTCAATATGATCAAGAAGGTCCAGCTTATGTTCTAGATTACTAGACATTTGATTTGTAGAAGGATGGTTTTGATTTTCTGGTTCTAAATCTGTAGAGTCTGCAATATTTGAATTTTCGGAGCGAATTGGAGCATCTGAACCTTGATTTGTATCGGCTTGCTCAAAATTAGTTTGAATTGGAGTGGATGAATTAAAATCTGGATGATTTAATGTTTCATTAAATAATGCCATAATTTTTTCTCTTTTTTCATTAATAAACTTAGTGATCATTGTATCTTTATCTGTTAGATCG